GCCCGTTTCCCCACCATGCCTGTTACCCCACCATGCCCGTTTCCCCACCATGCCCGTTACCCCACCATGCCCGTTTCCCCACCATGCCCGTTACCCCACCATGCCTGTTACCCCACCATGCCCGTTTCCCCACCATGCCCGTTACCCCACCATGCCCGTTTCCCCACCATGCCTGTTACCCCACCATGCCCGTTTCCCCACCATGCCCGTTTCCCCACCATGCCCGTTACCCCACCATGCCCGTTTCCCCACCATGCCCGTTACCCCACCATGCCTGTTACCCCACCATGCCCGTTTCCCCACCATGCCCGTTACCCCACCATGCCCGTTTCCCCACCATGCCTGTTACCCCACCATGCCCGTTTCCCCACCATGCCCGTTACCCCACCATGCCCGTTTCCCCACCATGCCCGTTTCCCCACCATGCCCGTTTCCCCACCATGCCCGTTTCCCCACCATGCCCGTTTCCCCACCATGCCCGTTTCCCCACCATGCCCGTTTCCCCACCATGCCCGTTTCCCCACCATGCCCGTTTCCCCACCATGCCCGTTTCCCCACCATGCCCGTTTCCCCACCATGCCCGTTTCCCCACCATGCCCGTTTCCCCACCATGCCTGTTACCCCACCATGCCCGTTTCCCCACCATGCCCGTTACCCCACCATGCCCGTTTCCCCACCATGCCCGTTACCCCACCATGCCTGTTACCCCACCATGCCCGTTTCCCCACCATGCCCGTTACCCCACCATGCCCGTTTCCCCACCATGCCTGTTACCCCACCATGCCCGTTTCCCCACCATGCCCGTTTCCCCACCATGCCCGTTACCCCACCATGCCCGTTTCCCCACCATGCCCGTTACCCCACCATGCCTGTTACCCCACCATGCCCGTTTCCCCACCATGCCCGTTACCCCACCATGCCCGTTTCCCCACCATGCCTGTTACCCCACCATGCCCGTTTCCCCACCATGCCCGTTACCCCACCATGCCCGTTTCCCCACCATGCCCGTTTCCCCACCATGCCCGTTTCCCCACCATGCCCGTTTCCCCACCATGCCCGTTTCCCCACCATGCCCGTTTCCCCACCATGCCCGTTTCCCCACCATGCCCGTTTCCCCACCATGCCCGTTTCCCCACCATGCCCGTTTCCCCACCATGCCCGTTTCCCCACCATGCCCGTTTCCCCACCATGCCCGTTTCCCCACCATGCCCGTTTCCCCACCATGCCCGTTTCCCCACCATGCCCGTTTCCCCACCATGCCCGTTACCCCACCATGCCCGTTTCCCCACCATGCCCGTTACCCCACCATGCCTGTTACCCCACCATGCCCGTTTCCCCACCATGCCCGTTACCCCACCATGCCCGTTTCCCCACCATGCCTGTTACCCCACCATGCCCGTTTCCCCACCATGCCCGTTACCCCACCATGCCCGTTACCCCACCATGCCTGTTACCCCACCATGCCCGTTTCCCCACCATGCCCGTTACCCCACCATGCCCGTTTCCCCACCATGCCTGTTACCCCACCATGCCCGTTTCCCCACCATGCCCGTTTCCCCACCATGCCCGTTACCCCACCATGCCCGTTTCCCCACCATGCCCGTTACCCCACCATGCCTGTTACCCCACCATGCCCGTTTCCCCACCATGCCCGTTACCCCACCATGCCCGTTTCCCCACCATGCCTGTTACCCCACCATGCCCGTTTCCCCACCATGCCCGTTACCCCACCATGCCCGTTTCCCCACCATGCCCGTTACCCCACCATGCCTGTTACCCCACCATGCCCGTTTCCCCACCATGCCCGTTACCCCACCATGCCCGTTTCCCCACCATGCCTGTTACCCCACCATGCCCGTTTCCCCACCATGCCCGTTTCCCCACCATGCCCGTTACCCCACCATGCCCGTTTCCCCACCATGCCCGTTACCCCACCATGCCTGTTACCCCACCATGCCCGTTTCCCCACCATGCCCGTTACCCCACCATGCCCGTTTCCCCACCATGCCTGTTACCCCACCATGCCCGTTTCCCCACCATGCCCGTTACCCCACCATGCCCGTTTCCCCACCATGCCCGTTTCCCCACCATGCCCGTTTCCCCACCATGCCCGTTTCCCCACCATGCCCGTTTCCCCACCATGCCCGTTTCCCCACCATGCCCGTTTCCCCACCATGCCCGTTTCCCCACCATGCCCGTTTCCCCACCATGCCCGTTTCCCCACCATGCCCGTTTCCCCACCATGCCTGTTACCCCACCATGCCCGTTTCCCCACCATGCCCGTTACCCCACCATGCCCGTTTCCCCACCATGCCCGTTACCCCACCATGCCTGTTACCCCACCATGCCCGTTTCCCCACCATGCCCGTTACCCCACCATGCCCGTTTCCCCACCATGCCTGTTACCCCACCATGCCCGTTTCCCCACCATGCCCGTTTCCCCACCATGCCCGTTACCCCACCATGCCCGTTTCCCCACCATGCCCGTTACCCCACCATGCCTGTTACCCCACCATGCCCGTTTCCCCACCATGCCCGTTACCCCACCATGCCCGTTTCCCCACCATGCCTGTTACCCCACCATGCCCGTTTCCCCACCATGCCCGTTACCCCACCATGCCCGTTTCCCCACCATGCCCGTTTCCCCACCATGCCCGTTTCCCCACCATGCCCGTTTCCCCACCATGCCCGTTTCCCCACCATGCCCGTTTCCCCACCATGCCCGTTACCCCACCATGCCCGTTTCCCCACCATGCCTGTTACCCCACCATGCCCGTTTCCCCACCATGCCCGTTACCCCACCATGCCCGTTTCCCCACCATGCCCGTTTCCCCACCATGCCCGTTTCCCCACCATGCCCGTTTCCCCACCATGCCCGTTTCCCCACCATGCCCGTTTCCCCACCATGCCCGTTTCCCCACCATGCCCGTTTCCCCACCATGCCCGTTTCCCCACCATGCCCGTTTCCCCACCATGCCCGTTTCCCCACCATGCCCGTTTCCCCACCATGCCCGTTTCCCCACCATGCCCGTTTCCCCACCATGCCCGTTTCCCCACCATGCCCGTTTCCCCACCATGCCCGTTACCCCACCATGCCCGTTTCCCCACCATGCCCGTTACCCCACCATGCCTGTTACCCCACCATGCCCGTTTCCCCACCATGCCCGTTACCCCACCATGCCCGTTTCCCCACCATGCCTGTTACCCCACCATGCCCGTTTCCCCACCATGCCCGTTACCCCACCATGCCCGTTACCCCACCATGCCTGTTACCCCACCATGCCCGTTTCCCCACCATGCCCGTTACCCCACCATGCCCGTTTCCCCACCATGCCTGTTACCCCACCATGCCCGTTTCCCCACCATGCCCGTTTCCCCACCATGCCCGTTACCCCACCATGCCCGTTTCCCCACCATGCCCGTTACCCCACCATGCCTGTTACCCCACCATGCCCGTTTCCCCACCATGCCCGTTACCCCACCATGCCCGTTTCCCCACCATGCCTGTTACCCCACCATGCCCGTTTCCCCACCATGCCCGTTACCCCACCATGCCCGTTTCCCCACCATGCCCGTTACCCCACCATGCCTGTTACCCCACCATGCCCGTTTCCCCACCATGCCCGTTACCCCACCATGCCCGTTTCCCCACCATGCCTGTTACCCCACCATGCCCGTTTCCCCACCATGCCCGTTTCCCCACCATGCCCGTTACCCCACCATGCCCGTTTCCCCACCATGCCCGTTACCCCACCATGCCTGTTACCCCACCATGCCCGTTTCCCCACCATGCCCGTTACCCCACCATGCCCGTTTCCCCACCATGCCTGTTACCCCACCATGCCCGTTTCCCCACCATGCCCGTTACCCCACCATGCCCGTTTCCCCACCATGCCCGTTTCCCCACCATGCCCGTTTCCCCACCATGCCCGTTTCCCCACCATGCCCGTTTCCCCACCATGCCCGTTTCCCCACCATGCCCGTTTCCCCACCATGCCCGTTTCCCCACCATGCCCGTTTCCCCACCATGCCCGTTTCCCCACCATGCCCGTTTCCCCACCATGCCCGTTTCCCCACCATGCCCGTTTCCCCACCATGCCTGTTACCCCACCATGCCCGTTTCCCCACCATGCCCGTTACCCCACCATGCCCGTTTCCCCACCATGCCCGTTACCCCACCATGCCTGTTACCCCACCATGCCCGTTTCCCCACCATGCCCGTTACCCCACCATGCCCGTTTCCCCACCATGCCTGTTACCCCACCATGCCCGTTTCCCCACCATGCCCGTTTCCCCACCATGCCCGTTACCCCACCATGCCCGTTTCCCCACCATGCCCGTTACCCCACCATGCCTGTTACCCCACCATGCCCGTTTCCCCACCATGCCCGTTACCCCACCATGCCCGTTTCCCCACCATGCCTGTTACCCCACCATGCCCGTTTCCCCACCATGCCCGTTACCCCACCATGCCCGTTTCCCCACCATGCCCGTTTCCCCACCATGCCCGTTTCCCCACCATGCCCGTTTCCCCACCATGCCCGTTTCCCCACCATGCCCGTTTCCCCACCATGCCCGTTACCCCACCATGCCCGTTTCCCCACCATGCCCGTTACCCCACCATGCCCGTTTCCCCACCATGCCCGTTTCCCCACCATGCCCGTTACCCCACCATGCCCGTTTCCCCACCATGCCCGTTACCCCACCATGCCCGTTTCCCCACCATGCCCGTTTCCCCACCATGCCCGTTACCCCACCATGCCCGTTTCCCCACCATGCCCGTTTCCCCACCATGCCCGTTTCCCCACCATGCCCGTTTCCGCTCCATGCTCGCCCTCCTCTCTTGCTCGTCTCCCCCCCGTGCACTCCCCCCCCCCTCCCTGTCTCCACTTCAAAATGCACCCGGATGAGAGGGCAGCGGGTGCCCATCCGCCTGGTGCTTCTCCCTCCTCGCCTCCCTCCAACTCTTCCTTCCCTCTCTGCACGTGTCCATGGCACAGAGGGGAGGCCAGCGGGTGTCATGGACGTGCAAGACCATCTCGCTGGGAGTGTGGCTTTTCGCGCTCCTCTCCTCTCTTCACTCCTCCCTCCACCATGACTGGCTCGGCCTTGTCACCACCTTCAAGTGCGTGCCATCCCTGCTGCGCCACACCACACCACACACACCACACCTCACCACACCGCACCGCACCGTTTATCTGTCAGTCTCCACCGCTTCCGTTGTGCCTTCATGTTGTCACATACCCGCCGGCCTCCTTGCCTCTCTCTGTGTCTTCATGTTCCCCGCCGTGCATGGACCTTGGTGCAAGCAGCTACATCCAAGTGGTGATGACCACCATCAAGTACATTCCCCAGGTGCGGGCTAGTGAGTGGTCAATGCTTTTTATGCAATTATTTCCCAGCGCGTATGGAATGTGTCGCTGGCACACGCACACACACAGCTACATCCAAGTGGTGATGACTACCATCAAGTACATTCCCCAGGTGCGTGCTTATGTAATTATTTCCGTGTGTGCATTGTGAAACCTTGTGTGCAGTTATTTCGTTGTGTGCAATCATTTATGAAGACATATTGTCTGTGCCGCTGACAGACACATACTGCTGCATAAAAATAGCTATAAAGTACAATACCCTCTGGTTTGTGTCCCATGGTATGCTTTCCAGTTGCGGGCATTTCCTCTTGTGGCCATCACTTGACACGTTTGTACACAAATGTACATCCGTACATGAGCACATGTGTACATTGGAACATATATATGCATGCACACGCATATTTTCACACCATTGAGTCTCTCCCATGTATAATGAGTGGCCCAATGAGTCTCTCCCTCGTCCGACTACCATTGGTCCTTCAGCTGGCAGCGGTGCAGCACGGTGGGGTGAAGCATCAGCAATGTGAGCATCATCAATAGTACCTCCCTCTTCCCCCCATGCCCCTGCCTCTCTCCCCACCCTCCCACCTGTAACCCCCAGGCGTGGTTCAACTGGCAGCGGCGCAGCACGGTGGGGTGGAGCATCAGCAACGTGCTCATGGACCTGACAGGCGGCACGGCGTCGCTGCTCATGATGTTTGTGCAGTCGATTGACCAGAGTGAGTGCTTCCCTCCGTTGGCAGCTGTTACAGTCCCTTCAGGCATCTTATGCCATGTCCCTGCACATATCATGTGATGTCATGTCCCTGCACATATCATGTCATGTCATGTCCCTGCACATATCATGTTATGTCATGTCCCTGCACATATCATGTCATGTCATGTCCCTGCACATATCATGTTATGTCATGTCCCTGGACATGTCATGTTCTGTCATGTCCCTGCACATATCATGTCATGTCATGTCCCTGCAGTCCATCGACCAGAGTAAGTCTCCCCTTCCCCCTGGCGCCTGCCAGAGTCCCTTAGGGGCAAAGCGAGGCAACCATGCGTATGCATGCACGGTCATCACACAGGCGACACACTGGATTGCACCTTGCTTTCATTATATATGCGCCTGCAGCCCAGTCCGTCCATCAGAGCCATTTTTCTAATGTTCAGGCGCTTCAAATACAAACACGTCACACTGGCGGCACTGCGTTATCTCCTGCTCATTATCACGGCTCATGATGCGGCTGCAGCCCAGCTCTGTCCATCGACCAGACGCAGTTGCGTGCTTCCTCATTCCCTCTGACTGTTTGGCATCATTCCTTCCGATGCCTGACTCCTTCTCTCATCCAATGACTGACCGTCTGGGCACAGCGCAAGCCAACGGCTCGGATCATTGGACGGGTGATGGCTAGTTAAATCTGACTGTTCGTGGGCATGGCCTGACAGTGGGGCTGACACTGTGGGCCTTCCCATCCTCTCCATCCCTCCCTTGCCTGTCACAACCCCTTTCTCTCTTTTCGATCTCTCAGGCTCATGTACCGATCCTACAGGGATTTAGGGCAAACTCGCTCTCTTAACCTCTCTCACCCTCTCTCCGCCTCTCACCCTCACTCACCATTTCTCCCTCTCCCTCCCTCGCTCACTCTCCCAGTCTCTCCAGCTCGTCGCCACTTCCCCACTCTCTTCCGTACGATTTCCCAACCCCCTGCCTTTGCCCACACCACACTTCTTCCCCCCTTCCCCAACTCAGTCTCCCAGGCTAATTTGTCTCCATTCACAGGCACCGTGGAGAGGCTTGTCCTCTTACCCTCCCTCGAGCGTGTGATAAGTTGTTTTTTGAGTCGACTCAAAACCCAACTCAGTCTCCCAGGCTAATTTGTCTCCATTCACAGGCACCGTGGGGAGGCTTGTCCTCTTACCCTCCCTCGCCCTCTCTCAACCTCTTACCAACTCTTTCCTCGCAACCCCCATTCTCCCCCCCAACCCCCCCTCCCTCCCTCGTCTGGCACATCCAAGCTCATTTGTCAACTTCACCGGCAACGTGGGCAAGCTCATCCCCTTAACCTCCCTCACGCTCTCACCTCTTACCAACTCTCTCTCCACACCCCCCCTTCTCCCCCCCGTCCCCCCCCCCCCCCCCCCCCCCCCCCCCCCCCCCCCCCCCCCCCCCCCCCCCCCCGGCTCCCTCTCTCCTCTGGCACATCCAGGCTCATTTGTCAACTTCACAGGAAATATGGGCAAGCTCGCCGAGTTGACTTTTGAGTCGACTCAAAAGGCATCTCCTCCCTCCCCCCCGCTCCCCCCCTCGCCCCCCCCCCATCCCCCACTCCCCCCCTCGTCTGGCACATCCAGGCTCATTTGTCAACTTCACCGGCAACGTGGGCAAGCTCGCCCTCTCAGGGGTATGCATTGGGTTCAGTGGGGTGTGGTGTGGTGTTTTATCGTACAGTACGGTGTAATGGGAGAGAGCCAGAAATAGGCTTGTCGGCACCGGTTTGCAGCAGTTTGGTTCAAGGAGTGGTTGATTCCATCTTACTCTCTATCATCCAGTCTACACTACAGTCCAATCTTTGCTCACCCATTCGCTGAGTTTTAACCTTCCTCTTGTTTGCTGACAATCAGATCTTGTTCTGCTGACGGTCAGATCTTGTTTGCTGACAATCAGATCTTGTTTTGCTGACGGTCAGATCTTGTTTGCTGACGGTCAGATCTTGTTTGCCGTGCAGCATTATGTCCTCCTCAACTCCCCTCCCCCCTCTTCCCCCCCCCCCCTCTCTCTCCTTTTCCTCTTTCCCATCTCTCTATCTTCTTACCAAATCTCCCACTCCACTGCTCCATCTTTCAGGAAACGATAGCCTTTGATATCATTTTCGCGCTGCAGCACTACGTCCTGTTCCCGCATGCCCCTGCTCTCCCCCTCTCCTCCCACCCACCCACGCTTGTGTCTACGCCCCTCCGTGAGGAGAGGGAGAAAGAGGGGAAGGGGGAGGAGGAGGAACAGCAGCCTGCAGACGAATTCACCCGCCTCCTGCCATTGCGACGGTCGGGTGGCTTATTCTGATTGGAGGGATTGAGTATGCCTGGGGTTTCGTAAAACTTTTGTTTTCGATAAAGTATTGGCATTCGTCTTTTACTCCGTAACCTTGTTTTACCACTTCACCTGCTTGCTCGTGTGTCTCAGCCTTTTGTTCCCTGTGCATGTTTCACCATCCATAGGCATTTCTATCCTTACGCACCGCACCACCCCGATACTGACACATCCCATTTTTGTCCTTGCATGTTTCAGGGAAAGCAGCAACATTTCATTGAAGTCTTACGACAAGGATCAATAACACCGGAATCTCTCACCAACTTACAATCGTGCATGACACGCATTGCATGATCCTGGCTATAAGGTGGCCAGTTAAGCTAGGAACATATCTTAAGCCTTTTGTGCATAGCTCTCACATGTGAACATCAAACATACCGTAAGAGCAAAGGCAAGTCCAGCCTTCTCATTTCAGCTCAAAACATTTCTTGATTTCATGCAGTCATCACCAGTAGTTTTTACTTTCTCGCGTTTAGTGAGTAGGCGTACGAAGAGGACACGTCGGTGTTGGGACCGGAAGAGCTCAGCGGAATCAGGTCGACAAGCCTGTCGACCTGTGTCGACCTGTCGACCTGCTGCCCCGGGCAGCAAAAAAACTAAACCCCCATCGGATGGCATGCCATCCGAGGGAGCCTCAACCCTAAACACCATGCCTCCCCGCGTTTAGGGTTGAGGCTCCCTGACCAGATGCGTGCCCGTCTGGGGTTTATTTTTTTTGCCCGCGGGCAGCGAGCTCCCCCGGGCGGACTCGCTTGTCCGCTGAGCTATTTTCGGCGGAAGTGGCGTGGCGGCAATCTCGAGGCCGTGTGGAACACTCCAATTGACCAATTCCGAAGCAAAAAAGTAAAAGCCATGTCGTTTCTGTGAGCCCGTCTTGTCAGCCTGCCATTTGTGCTGCACTGCTGCAGCAGAAACGAGGCACCGCCTGCTCCACCAGCGTTAGCTGAGACACGGCGGTTCTGACAGGCTGCGATTGTTACGAAACGCGCAGAGGTTTTGAGAGAACTTTGCGCGATCGCGGGCTCTTTTCCTTGTCCTTTCCTTTTCTATTACTATTACCCTATTAGTCGTAGCGGCGTGTGACTATGGCGGATTACCACACGGTGTACAAGGAACCCGAGGGCACGACAACGGAATGGGAGGACCTTCAGGTAGAAACGCCGCTCACCCTTCTGTACCTCCTGTAAACCATCAATGTGTTCGCTCGCGTTGAAGTAAAGAAGTTGCGTGCCGGCGTGCCCAGCTGCGTCCTTAATCCACTCACCTGAGCATAAACCTGAACGTAAACCTGAACGTAGACCTGAATGTAAACCTGAATGTAAATCTGAATGTAAATCTGAATGTAAATCTGAATGTAAGCCTGAATGTAAGCCTGAATGTAAGCCTGAATTTAAATCTGAATGTAAATCTGAATGTAAGCCTGAATGTAAGCCTGGATGTAAGCCTGAATGTAAATCTGAATGTAAAACTGATAGGTACAATCGCAGTGAAGGTACACGTCATCTTCAGTGCACCTCGACGGAGTGGGAGGATGTTCAGATTGTAATGCTGCTCGCTCTCTCCCGCCGATGCCGAGCACAGTGGGAGGGAGCACTCACTCCCCCCTGTATCCTCCTTAGAAGGTGAAAACTCGGCAACCTTGTTTTGACGCCCGTCAACACGCTGCTGTCTTATTTTTCTTCCTAATTCTTCGGGCAGGTGAAATTCGGAAACCTCGCTCTGCGGGAGAAGCCTAAGTCGGCAGCATGAGAGGCCGCAGAGGAGGGGAAGCGCATGGAGGAGCTGGACACGCGCACGGCTGATTCGCCTTACTTCTTGCTGCTTGTCTTTCCCCTGGCAGGTGAAATACGGCAACCTTGCTCCCCGCGAGAAGCCCAAGACAGCGGCATGGGAGGTGGCATCAATCGCTCTGCCCCTTGCTGCTTGTCTGGCAGGTGAAATATGGCAACCTTGCTCCCCGTGAGAAGCCCAAGACAACTCCATGGGAGCCTGCAGAGGAGAGGAAACGGACGGACGAGCTGGACACACGCACGGCTGATGAGCTGGACGACCTGGAGGATGACGTGGACGATGACCGGTTTATGGAGGAGTACAGGTGGGAGGTGGCCACGTGGCATGGGGCATGGAGTGCAGGTGGGAGATGGCCACGTGGCATGGACATGTAGTTGGGGCAAAGGATGGGAGTGAAGTGAGAGTGAGTGGGAAACGTGAGGCGGGGTTGGTTGGGGAATGAAGGTGAGACGAATGTGAGGGCATTTGAGGAAGTAATTTGTGCATTCGTATGGGGATGGGGGTGTGCATGGGGATGTGCGTGGGGTATGTGCGTGGATGTTAAAGCCAGGGTCTCATGTAAGGGTTGGCCGTGCAACTGCAAAGCACTTGGGCAAAAAGTGGGCTCTTTGGAGAGTCTCGATTTGTCAAAACTTTGGCCCCAAATTTGTAAACCAATCAGACAGGCCCGTTTTTCATCGACTGCAAAGCACTTGGTCACTTGAGACCCTGGCTTTAAAGTGGATGGTGACGGGGATGGTTACGGGGATGAGGATGGGGATGGGGATGGGGATGTGGACGGTGATGGGGATGGGAAAAGCCAACAGCAGCCAGCACGGCTCCAAGGTTCGAAGTGTCCCTTCCCCTCTCCCCTCATTTCCCTCTTCCCCCTGCAACCCTCCCCAGATTACTGGAATCAACCCCTCTCCCCTCCTTCCTTTTCCTACTGCTGCTGATCCCTTCTGAGGAGGCGGCTGGTGGGGGGGATCGTGGGTAACTGCAGCACGGCCGTGGTACAGAGGGGTGGAGCGAATCTCAGAAATGATCGCTTACCATTTCCCTCTCCCTCCCCTCCTTTTCCCTCCTCTTCCCCGCTCTTATCCGTCCTGCCTTGGGTTTTATCCCTTTTCAGCGACTTTTGAGAATTCTCATAACTCCCTCGTTTTCCTCGCTCCCATCTGTTCTGCCGGAGAACCCTTACTCGTTTTTTTTCTCTTTCAGGAGGCCGCAGGTAGCGGAGCGGAGCGCAGCGCAGCAGTGGCACGGCCACGGTACGGAAGGGTGAAGCTGATCACACGCCCTACCCCCCTCCCCCGTCTCCCCCTGATCCAACCTCCCTCCGCCCCTTCGTTCTCCCCTCTTCCCTGCTGCTGTTCATCCCCTTCAGGAGGCGGAGAGTGGCAGAGCTGAAGGCAGCAGCAGCACTGCCGCGGTACAGAGGGGTGCAGAGGATTACAGAACTCACCGCTAACCCGTTTCCTCCTAACCCCTTCGTTCTACCCTCTTCCCTGCTGTTGATCCCCTTCAGGAGGCGGAGAGTGGCAGAGCTGAAGGCAGCAGCAGCACGGCCGCGGTACGGAGGGGTGGAGAGGATTACGGGGCCGGACTTTGTGAGGGAGGTGACGGAGGCGAGTCAGAGCGTATGGGTGGTGGTGCACCTCTTCCGCGACAGGTGGGTGGGTGGGTGGCCCTTGCAGGACGGTTGGGTTGCTGGGTTGCTACTTCAGTCATTTCTTGAAGTATGGGTTACACATGAGTCATGGGGTCGGTTGGACTTCGTGAGGGAGGTGACGGAGGCGAGCCGGAATGTGTGGGTGGTGATGCAGTGCACCTCTTTCGATCGAGACAGGTGGGTGGGTGCGCTGTGCCAGGTGGGTGGGTGCGCCATGCAGGACAGGTAGACAGCTACTTAGGTCGTGTCTTGAAGCACAGGGCACACATGAGTCACGGCACGGGCAGGACTTTGTGAGGGAGGTGAGGCGACAGAGGCGAGTGAGAGCATGTGGGTGGTGTGGTGTGGTGTGGTGTGGTGTGGTGTGGTGTGGTGTGGTGTGGTGTGGTGTGGTGTGGTGTGGTGTGGTGTGGTGTGGTGTGGTGTGGTGTGGTGGTGCACCTCTTCCACCACACCACAAGTGGGCTGACACCTGCACGTGCACCACCACCACCTGACACCACAGGTGGGCTGACAGTCTGGTGTGCGTGCGGTTGGCGGTGCACCTTTCTCAAGAGAAAGGTGTGTTGGCGCTTGAGGCATGTCGCTTGAGCTGCACTAGAGCAACTGGCATGGTCACTACTGTTGGCCTAGCTGCAATGCTCAAGGCATAGTTTGTTGTGTGTACATTGTAAGCACTAAGTGCATCCCCAACCACTTCCTTCCCTCACTCTCTCTCCCATCCCATCTCATTCCCTCCCAGCGTGGCAGTCTGCAGCATCATCAGCTACAGCCTCTCAGAGTTCTCCAAATCTTTGTGTTAGCAGGTAGCCACCAAGTGCAGTTCCAACCCAACTTTTCCTGTTGTCTCCACCTACTCTCCCTCTCTCCCATTCCCCCCCCCCCCAGTGTGGCAGCCTGCAGCAGCATCAACAACTGTCTCTCGGATCTCGCTCGCTCGCACCCGCAGACCAACTTTGTGCGCATAGTGAGCACTGAGTGCATCCTTAACCGAACCATTCCTGTTATCTCCACCCACTCTCCCATCCCATCCCATTTCCCTCCCCAGCGTGGCAGCATGCAGCATCATAAACAACTGTCTCTCGGAGCTCGCGCGCTCGCACCCGCAGACCAAGTTTGTGCGCATAGTGAGCACAGAGTGCATCCCCAACTACCCTGACGCACACCTGCCCACCCTGCTGGTGTACCACAAGGGGGCCCTCAAGGCAACCCTCGCTGGCATGCAGCAGTTCGGCGGGAGGAACTGCACGACACAAGGTGAGATTTACAAAAAGGCCCATTTCCATTACATGCTTGCTTTTGTGGTTATGTGTAGTAGCCCGCATGTTGATGAATTCATGATTTTTTTTTCCGCCTGCTTTGGCTAACTACTCTTTTCCTGGTCACAGATGTGGCTTTTGCTTTGTGCAAGGTTGGGCCTGTTTTAGCAAGTGAGGACGAGGATGAGGACGCAGTGATGGAGCGGGTACAAAAGGATTATGTGAAAAACATTGTGAAGAGGCATGTGGAGGAGAAGGGAGACGATGAAGATGATGATTAGATACCTGTTCTGCAAATTGTTCTGTTGTAACTCCGCTTCTCAAATGATTCCAGCTGCAGTGTAAGAGCGTTCTAGAAAGAATATGATTTCACTGACTATCACTTCTTTTCCTGTTCTTGTTGGTTTGTGCCTGAAACGAACTCATCAGCCGCTTTGCCAGCAATGGCATTTTCCACCAATCAAACGGCTCAGACTTGCATCAACAAACTATTCGAGGGTGTGCAAATTCTCAAATCGTGGTTAGGAACGATTCAGAGCGTTTTCCTATGGTAGAGATGTCAATCCGTGAGCAGGCATATGGTAGGACGCCTCGACATGACTGGCTAGTTATAACTGAGCAGAGCAGCAAACCAGCCACTAATTATGCAAACATTTCCCTACTAAGCGCAGCAGCAGGGACTGAAACGACCAGAACCTATGTCAGCTTTCAATCTCCGTCGGTAGTGGAGCGAAGTGCAGCTCATAGCGATCATCGTGCGTCTGGTTTGTAATCTCATACAAGCGACATAGTACGTTGTATATATAGTTGTTCGTGGTGCCGTCGGTCGAGGGTGTGCGTATTGTCGCGGTCGACCTGGCAATTTTCGGCTGTTCTTGCCCCAGTGCAAGAAGAAATTTTTAGCTCTCAGAATCCTGAATGAAGCTTGTACCAAAGTTGGCCTTCTGCACTCTCTGGTGGAATGTGGTAGACCTAGTAGCTTCCTATTGCGAGTAAACTGTTTGCGTTTAGACCTCGACCATTACGTTACTTCTCGCGAGCTTTTGCAATCTGCACTCCGCCTTTATCGCGCGCCGAGTTTTTTAACATGTCGGACCCCACACGAGCCCCAACAGGTGCGCGAATGCGGTGCAACCTGGTACAGTGTGGTACAGGGATTACATACCGCTTTAAGCATAATACAGATTGTACTCCTAGCCGTAGGTGTGATTGCCCTACAGGTATGTATGAACGAGACACTGGCAGCCATGGTATGGACACGGAATGTTGACATTGATCCTCTTTTTTTTTTACCCAAGAAATCTTCTGCTTACTCTTCTCTTCTCCTTCAAGCTCCTGCTTGTCTTTTCTCTCCCTTTCGTTGTGACTGCCTGACCTCCAGTCGACCTCGCATGGTCTCCATCCCTCCCTTTCTCCCCACACCGTTCGTCTGTTCTGTTCCCCCAATTGCAGCGATTCTTGCGGAATTCGCGGCGCACGAAGAAGGTGAGATGGCGTTCCCAGTGTTCAGTGTTAATGCCATCCCATCATGGTATTATGATTGAACGTGTGTCTTGCTTGATGCTATTAGTGGAACATGGCTGAACTGCACTGGCCTGGCAGGAAAGGAAGGAACTCGGCATGCATGCCTAAGATGCTGCACGGTGTCTATGCTCGTTTCACGTTTGAGAAATCTCAGGATCATATTTGCGATACGATCTTCGCGATGCATGCCTAGGATGCCAGCCAGCCAGCCCTGCACGGTCTCTATGTGCACGTATCCCTTATCATGTTTGAAAATTCTCAACGATAGATTTCGAGATACATCCAATTCCCCAGTTCTCCATTCCCGCATGCATGCCCCTACCCGCCCATCCACTAGCCATTCAGCAGCAGAACCATGCGTATCTGAACAAGGCAGTGGCACAGGCATACGAGGGCGTGAAGGTGCGCCGACTCTCCCCTATCTTGCTATTCCTGCATCCCCCTATCGTCTCTCCCCCCATCACCCCATCGTCTCTTCCCCCATCCACCAGCCATTCAGCAGCAGGACCATGCGTATTTGAACCAAGCAGTAGCACAGGCATACGAGGGTGGTGGGCGACGGGGGGCCGTTTGGGGCCGTGGTGGTGCGTGAGGGAGAGGTGGTAGCGGCGTGTCACAACATGGTGCTCAGGAACACGGACCCCACTGCACATGCTGAAGTCACGGCCGTCAGAGAGGTATTTTTCTGGTGGTATGGGTATCCGAATGGTCTGGTCTGGTCTGGTATGGTATGGTATGGTGCGGTACGGTAGAATATGGCTCTTGCTGTGTGTGTCTCTGTGTGCATGTGTACCACAGCATGCGGGTGCCACCTTCGCTGCCAATAAGTTCTGTGTTTTTCCTCCACCGCTCTCTCTTTGCACTCATTGCCCTTCCTCTCACTGCCTCTCCTCTCTCCAGGCGTGCAGGAAACTAGGCCGCTACGACCTGTCAGACTGCGAGCTGTATGCGTCGTGTGAGCCGTGCCCCATGTGTTTCGGCGCCATCCACCTCTCGAAGATTAAGGTGTGCCCTTCCGCGCTCCCATCCCATCCTCCTGCTCCTCTTCTTCGGCCACACCTGAATAGACTATTCGTCGGCTCTCAAGCCTACTAGCCCATGCATTCAGGTGTGTTTGAGTCGACTCAAAACACATTAAGGTGTGCCCTTCCGCGCTCCCATCCACCTGCTCCTCTTCTTCCGCGACACCTAAATAGACAAATTTTCGACTCTCAAGCCGATTTTTGAGGCGCCTCAAAACGCTCCCATCCGCCTTCTCCTCTTCTTCAACGACACCTACGTAGACAAGTCTTCGGCTCTCAAGCCTACTAGCCCGTGCATTCACCATTGCTGAGGTGAATCCACCCTTTTTGTAGGAACCTCGAAAGTCTACTCTCGCTGTCAAGCCCACCAGGAACTTTGACTTTGAAGCCCCATGGATAACCATGTTCTAAGGGCGCGGTGCATTGTTGTTCAAGACTTGTTCAAGTGGAGTTCAAGACTTCAACAAATATAGTGTTTCTGGGTTACCTGATTGGTTGCAAGAGTACAGTCCTGAGATGTACCAGGCGGGCCTGGACGACAGGTCAGCAAAGCTGGCGGCGGTGATGGCGACGGTGGGGCGGTGAAGGCAGAGGCGGACACGGTGGTGCAGCGCATGGGGGATGAGAGGGCTGCGTGGGAGGCTGCCTTACCGTCAGCTTTACTGACCTGTCGCCCTGGCCCCTGCTGCGGCTGCTGCTCTTGCTCTTGATGCAACATCCGCATGAGCAGCAGCGGCTTCAGCAGCAGAATTAGCTGCATCTTCTCTGGCAACAGCAGGAGCAGCAGCCCTAGCTTCTACCATCAGAGCATTTGCCGCCTGTGCATCAGCAGAGGCAACCTCTGCCTTTCTTTTCAGCTCACCCACCTCTTTCTGCCACCGCCTCCCACCGCCTCCCACCGCCCTCCTCTGCCTCGCCTATTTCTCCTTATCCGCCTTCCACACCGCCTTCCAAAAGGCTCCTATCCTCCTCACTCATCCACAGCTCCTGTCAAACAGCAGCAGGTGCACAGAGCACAGCTAACCCACCTCCTTGTGGAACCCATGCAATGCACTATCTCCCTACCTACCACTAGCAAGCCGAGAGAACCACTCCCCACCTCCTCCCATCCCCCCCCCATTCCTCCTCCCCCACCTCCCTCTCAACCCCACAACCACCCACCAGTGGCTGGTGTACAGGGTGCGGGCAGAAGCATCAATGGCCATTGGCTTTGGTAATACTATTGCTAATGAAAACTACTAACCCCCGCTAACCCCCGCTCACACCCTCTCGCCTTCTCTCTCCTCCCCACCACTCCCACCCCTTTCCTAACCACCAGCGGCTGGTGTTACCCAGCATGCAGGCAGAAGCAGCCCTGGCCAATGGGTTGACGACTTTATTGCTAATGCCATTCGCTGCACAGCCTACCACCAGACGTCCACACCCTCTCAATCTTTTCCTCCCCACCATCCCCACTCCCCCTCTTCTATTTTTGCTCCCACCAGCGGCTGGTGTATGGAGCTCAGGCAGAAGCAGCATTGGCCATTGGTTTCGACGATTTTATTGCGGACGCCATTCGCGGCACGGCCTACTACCAGAAAGCGAGCCTGCAGATCCACAAGGCGGAGGGACACGTGGCTGCTGCTGCAGAAGAGGTGTTTGAAAACACCAAGTCCAAGTTCCAAATGTACTAAGGGTACATTCCGCTGTGGATTTGTGTCTCAATCGATATGTCTCAATCCCCTTTTCGTCGAGTCGCGCCCAATTTTCCCGAATCTGCATGTCCCAATCGATCGATGTATTGCGACTCTGCTGTGTGAAGCGACAATTATTTGCGACCCCTGCTGATTGGACACCGTCCATCCTGGCCCATTTTCCCGCCAAAAGCACAAACACCCCCGCCTCCCGTCAACCGCAGGAATCACAAATCCGTACGGGGGGACCGCGGATGATACACAACACATCCGCGCTTCCAATAATTGCGAAGGCGGGTACTATGGCAATATGAAGCACACACAAGGAGCAAGTATAATCCAGATACACACATACAAAAAACTACAGTCGGCGAATCCACACAACATGGCAGAGCCACGAACCATCCCATTCATCCTACGCCTTCTCGTCGCCTGGGTAACCTACTACTACACCATCTTCCACGAAAATGTGTCCAAGAGCTTTGTAGGCCTCATAGAGTCAGGCGTCTTCGAGGACGAGGAAGAGCAGTCCTCATCCTGCGGGGACGACCGCGGCGAGAACCGCCGTCACAGAGCGAGGATACGAAAGCGGAGACACGCTCTGTGGGTTGAAGACCTGCACCACATGCGGGAGAACGACTTTCAGGATCTCTTCAGTGTCAAATGATATATATGTGTGATACATATTGGTAGGCTGTAGTGGGGTAGATGTTATAGGGGATAATTCCTTAGGGTTGTGTTACTTGTAAAATTTCTCTCGATAGTCAACTTCACCTTGCCTAGCTATCTCAACATGGCATCTAGAGCAATGGTCCTAAGGACCTAAGATTGGGGCCCACCTACTCATGAGTTACTTTCCCTACAGCTATACCTACGTGCCTACCTTGCCTGCTGCCCGCGCGCGCCTCGGCTGCATGCGCGCGTGCATTTTTTTTTAGCGCGCCCCGCTGCCTTAGCCGCCCGCGTGCTCGCTGCTGTCACGCGCAGCTCGGCGCCGCGCGCAGCCCGCCGCCACGCGCGACCCGCCGCCGCGTGCAGCCAGTAGCCACGCGCAGCCCGCAGCCGCACGCAGCCCGTCGCCGCGCGCAGCCCGCAGCCGCACGCAGCCCGTCGCCGCGCACAGCCAGCTGCCACGCACAGCCCGCAGCCGCGCGCAGCCCGCTGCCGCGCGCAGCCCGCAGCAGCGCGTGCCCTGCCCTGCCTGTGCGCCACTGCCTCGACCTGAGCGCTTAGCCGCCCGTGAGTCGTGCGCTTACCTGCCTTACGCGCGGCCTGTCACAGAACTGCGTGCTTCCTTACCTGCTACAGTTGCCTGCTGCCTGAGCCTGCTGCCTGAACCTGCAGTCTTTGCCTGCTGCCTGAGCCTGCTGCCTGAGCCTGCTGCCTGAGCCTGCTACCTGAGCCTGCTGCCTGAGCCTGCTGCCTGAGCCTGCTGCCTGAACCTGCTGCCTGAGCCTGCTGCCTGAGCCTGCTGCCTGAGCCTGCTACCTGAGCCTGCTGCCTGAGCCTGCTGCCTGAGCCTGCTACTTTTGCCTGCGCTACAACCATGGCGACCCTTACTGTTCTCGCCTTTGAGCCTGACGGCCGCCCCATCGAGTTTGACACCTGGCTTAGTGACCTGCGCCTTTATCTTATGACTGACGTCGCAGACGGAGTGTCACTGCTAGCCTATGTGACCGGCACTGTCCCTACTCCTGCTGAGACTGCTCCTGCCCCTGAACGAGCACAGTGGGAGCTCCGCGATGCTGTCGCGCGCCTTGTTATTCGCAATCACCTACCGATCTCTGAGCGCGCGCATTTCAACCAGCTTAAGACTGCTAAGACGCTGTATGATGCTGTCGTTGCCCGCTATTCCGCCCCGACCACAGCCACCGTTGGTAGTCTCATCCTGCCTTACCTGTTCCCAGACTTAGCCTCGTTTCACACTGCTGCCGACCTTATCACTCACCTCCGCGCTAGTGACGCCCGCTTTCGAGCCGCTCTTACCAACGAGTTCCTCGCCACGAACACCCCCCCGCTGTACTTCACCCTCTACATCCTCGTCACCCGCCTCCCTGACACTCTTCGCTCTGTCAGGGATTACTTCCTTGCCAAGGATCCTCCAACTATCACTCTGGACGACTTCGAGCAGCAGCTGGTCGCAGCAGAGAAGAACATCCTCGCTGTCGGTGCTGCTCGTGGCACTCCCCGCACTCCCCTCTTTGAGGGGTGCTCCCCCTCCCCTCTTGACCCCTCCTACGCCTCTGCTGCTACTGCTGTCGACTTCCTCGGTGCGGAGAAGGTCGCAGCGGCTTCCGCTCCTGGTGGGAAGCGTGGTGGTGGCAGGGGCGGCAAGGGTGGCAGGGGTGGCGGAGGTGGCGGTGGAGGGAGCGGTGGTGGAGGCGGCGGGGGTGGTGGAGGTGGTGGGGGTGGCCGTGGGGGTGGAGGCGGTGGGTGGGGTGGCGGCAGGACCGGGGGCGGTGGAGGCGGCGGCGGCGGTGGTGGGGGAGGAGGCAGCGGCAGTGGCAATGGAGGTGGGAGTGGGGGTGGATCTGGCCAGAAGGGTGGCCAGCAGCAGCAGCAGCAGCAACAGCCACAGCAGCAGCAGCAGCTTCCTCCCCTCACCTCCCAGCAGCTCAATGACTGGTATGCTGGGCGTGGGGCGTCTCGGGGTTCTGACCGCTGCCCCTATGTCATTCGTACTGGCCCCCGCAAGGGTCGCCCCTGCAACGGTTTTCACACTGAGTATCGTTGTTTTGCTAGGCTTAGTGACGCCTGGCGTACTAAGTATCCTGATGCTACTGAGTTCCCCAACTGGGCAGAGCTGCTTAGGCGTGATGTGCCTATCTTTGATCTGGACTATGATGTTATTCTTGCTGCCATGTATGCATTGACTGTTAGTGCTGAGGGTGACTGCTACTTGTGTGTGCCGCCTGACCCCGGTATAAGGACTGCAGCCCTAGGTGCTAGTGAGTCTGCTCCCCTTGGTACTGAGTCGGCTCAGGCCTTGCACACGTTTACACTTGACTCTGGTGCTTCCCGCTGTTTCTTTCGCGATAGCACCACCGTCACTCCGCTCCCTGCACCTGTCCCTGTCTCCCTGGCTGACCCCTCTGGGGGCCCAGTGCTTGCACGCGGCACGACTGTGCTCCCGTGCCCGGCGGTCCCGTCTGGTGAGCTGTCAGGTCTCCTCGTTCCCTCGTTCTCTACGAACCTGGTGAGCAACGCCGTCCTCCAGGATCACTGGGTTGACACCTGGACTCCTGGAGGGCAGCGTGTGGCGATCTGCACGTGCTCCAAGACTGGCCGCCACCTGGCCACGTTCACTCGTGAGCCGGGGTCCAGTCTGTACACCCTCACCACTGTTTCACGCTCCGCTCCTTTGTCTCCGCAGCTGTACGCGTCTGCTCAGGTAGCTACCCAGTGTGAGTGCCGCCGCCTGTCGCACGACACGCTCCTGTGGCACCACCGCCTTGGTCACCCCTCCCTGCCTCGCCTTCGTAGCATGCACTCTCGCTCTCTGGTCTCTGCCTGCCCTACCTCCCTCGCCTGCGCCGCCCTGCATTCCCTGCGTCGAGGGGCGGCAGCGCGCCGCTCCTCACTCCTCCTCGTTTCCTCCCACAGAGGCTCCCCTGCAGACGCTTCACCTGGACGTGTGGGGCCCAGCCCGCGTCCAGGGACAGGGCCGTGAGCGGTACTTTCTGCTGGTTGTCGACGACTTCACGCGTTACACCACGGTCTTCCCCTTGCGCAGCAAGGGAGACGTCCCTGCTGTTTTGATCCCCTGGATCCGCGCTGTGCGTCTCCAGCTCCGCGAGCGGTTCGAGCGGGACTTTCCTGTCCTACGTCTGCACTCTGACAGAGGTGGTGAGTTCTCCTCTGACCTCTTGGCAGCCTTCTGTGCGGAGCACGGCATCACCCAGTCGTTCACGCTTCCGGCCTCTCCGTAGCAGAATGGGGTTGCTGAGCGCCGCATTGGCTTAGTCATGGAGGTCGCTCGTACCTCCATGATCCATGCGGCGGCTCCCCATTTTCTGTGGCCGTTCGCGGTCCGGTACGCCGCGCATCAGCTCAACCTCTGGCCCCGTGTCTCCTTGCCGGAGACCTCGCCCACACTGCTGTGGACGGGGGAGGTTGGCGATGCGTCGCGTTTCCGGGTCTGGGGTGCTCGTGCCTTTGTCCGCGATCTCACCGCGGACAAGCTCTCTGCTCGCGCCATTCCCTGCGTCTTCCTTGGTTTTCCTCCTGACGCGCCTGGCTGGCAGTTTTACGACCCCACCTCGCGCCGTGTCTTTGCGTCTCAGGACGTCACCTTTGACGAGTCTGTTCCCTTCTACCGTCTCTTTCCCTACCGCACTGTCTCTCGCCCCCCCCCGCCGCTCTTTCTCGCTCCAGGTCCTCCCCAGGTAGACCCCCTCCCCGCGCCAGGTCCTGCTCCTTCAGGTGTTTCTCAGGTAGACCCTCCGGTACCTGCGCCTGTTGAGGTCATTGGTGACTCAGGTCCTGCTGGAGGTGGTCCTGCTCGGGGTGCTGTCTCTGGGGGTGCTGAGCCTGGGGGTGCGGAGCCTGAGCGAGAGGCGCCTAGAGGTGCTGAGCCTGGGGGTGCGGAGTCTGGGGATGCCGTGCCTGCGCGTGAGGAGCCTGGCGGTGCTGAGCTTGGGGGTGTCGAGTCTGAGGGTGCTGTGCCTGCGCGTGAGGAGCCTGGAGGTGCTGAGCTTGCGGGTGCCGAGTCTGCGGGTACTGAGCCTACGCGTGAGGAGCCTGGGGGTGCTGGCGCTGGAGGTTCTGGAGCAGCTGGGGGTGCTGGCGCTGAGGGTTCTGAGTCTGCTGTTGTGCGGTCTCCTTGGAGTAGCCGCCTTCGTCCACGTGTGCCTCTCACCCCACAGCAGCTGCAGGACTGGTACGGTCACCGTCAGCGTCGCGCTGCTGGAGCTAGGAGTGGTGCTGGACCTTTGTCTACTGGAGGTGCTGGAGTCGCTGGTTCTGGAGATACTCGTACTGGAGACACAGAGGCTGGAGACCCTGGGACTGGAGGTGCTGGCTCTGGGGGTGCTGCTGCTGGTGTTACTGAGGCTGGAGACCCTGGGACTGGGGGTGCTGGTTCTGGGGGTGCTACTGCTGGAGACACAGGGGCTGGAGACCCTGGGACTGGAGGTGACGACTCTGGGACTGGAGCTTCTGGAGCTGCTGGAGGTTCTGGAGCTGCTGGAGGTACTGGAGCTGCTGGGGGTACTAGGGCTGCTGGAGCTGCCGGTACTGATGCAGCTGCGCCGACACGACTGTTCTTCGCTCCGCCGTCTCCGTCGTCTCTGCCGCCGTCTGACTCTGTTCTTCGTCAGGTTCTTACTCTCCCGTCGTCTACTGGTCTTCCGTTACAGCCTGGCTCACCGCTGCCTGCTCCTTCTCCTTACACTGAGCAGACTGGTAGTCCTGCTGAGCGTCGTGAGCCTGTGTCGCGTCCTGTCTCGCCTGCTCGTCCCGGTCGTCGTGTTCCTCGTTCGCGTCAGCAGGCTGTCCCCAGCACACACCTCGTAGTTCGTCGTCCTTCCTCTGCTCTGCAGCCTGTTCCTCTTCCGTCTCCTCCTGCGTCCTCTCTACCTGACGTTCCGGACCCTGAGTCTGACCGGTTTCGTGCTGAGCACCCTACTGTCACGCGTCTGCTAGCCACTGTTGTCACTGACCCGTCGTTTGAGTCTACTGCTGCGTCTGCTCTTGTCGCTGAGCTTGTTGACTTTGCTGCTGCCTGTCGTCTAGACTACGCCGCCAGTCTTGTTGCTGAGTCTGCGCCTGTCTGTCCTCCGTCCGTCGGGGGTGAGTGTGCTCTTAGCACGGACGTCCTTGAGGACAGGCAGGAGGAGTTCCAGTGTCTTGCTGCTGCTTTACCTCATCTTGTGTCCTCACTACTTGCCCCTGAGGGAGACCCGGATGCACCAGACATCCCGACTCCGCGCTCTTACGCAGAGGCGATAGAGAGTCCCTACTCCTCTCAGTGGCAGGCAGCCATGGACGCAGAGATGGCTTCCTGGAAGTCCACAGGCACCTATGTCGACGAGGTTCCCCCACCTGGGGCGAACATCGTCAGTGGCATGTGGATTTTCAGGGTGAAGCGGCCGCCGGGTTCTCCGCCTGTCTTCAAGGCGCGTTACGTGGCTCGAGGCTTCAGTCAGCGAGAGGGAGTTGACTTCTTCCAGACCTTCTCCCCCACCCCGAAGATGACCACTCTTCGGGTGCTGCTGCACGTTGCTGCTCACCGTGACTACGAGCTTCACTCTCTTGACTTCAGCACAGCTTTCTTACAGGGCAGCCTGCACGAGGAGATCTGGCTGCGCCGCCCCCCGGGCTTCACTGGGTCGTTCCCTCCTGGCACCCAGTGGAGCCTCCGACGGCCGGTCTACGGTCTCCGCCAGGCGCCACGTGAGTGGCACGACACACTGAGGACGACACTTGCGGCTCTTGGGTTTGCGCCTTCTACTGCTGACCCGTCGCTGTTTCTGCGCACAGACACTTCACTGCCGCCGTTCTACATCCTCGTGTATGTCGACGACTTGGTTTTTGCCACTGCTGACACTGAGGCTCTCGCCCACGTGAAGTCGGAGCTACAGAAGAGACACACGTGCACTGACTTGGGTGAGCTGCGCAGCTACCTTGGCTTGCAGATCACCCGGGACAGAGCACGCCGCACCATCACCTTGACTCAGTCACACATGGTACAGCAGGTCCTTCAGCGCTTCGGCTTCACCTGGTCTTCAGCACAGGCCACTCCTCTGGCTACAGGTCACACGCTCTCAGCTCCACCTTCGGACGAGTCCGTAGAGCCGAGTGGTCCTTACCCAGAGCTAGTCGGCTGCCTCATGTACCTGATGACTTGCACTCGACCTGACCTCGCGTACCCTCTTGGTCTCCTCGCTCGCTACGTGGCTCCTGGTCGACACCGACCTGAGCACATGGCTGCTGCTAAGAGGGTACTGCGCTACTTGTGCAGCACATCAGGCATGGGGCTAGTGCTTGGAGGGACGAGCCCAGTTGTCCTCACTGGGCACTCAGACGCTTCTTGGGTTGACGACCTGGCTACTCAGCGGTCGTCACAGGGTTACACCTTCAGCCTTGGCTCTGGTTCAGTTTCGTGGCGTTCTACACGCTCGTCTTCAGTTCTCGGCTCCAGTTGTGAGGCTGAGATCTACGCCACCGCCATGGCTGCACAGGAGTTACGCTGGCTCACCTACCTGCTGACTGACTTGGGAGAGCAGCCTCGTTCTCCTCCAGTGCTGTACGTTGACAACAAGGCCGCCATTGCCTTGTGTGAGGAGCACAGACTGGAGCACAGAACGAAGCACATTGCTCTGCGTTACTTCCTGGCTCGAGAGTTGCAGCAGCGAGGCCAGCTTTGTCTTCGTTACGTGGCCACTCGGGCCAACACTGCTGATATATTCACCAAGGCACTTCCGTCTGGTGATCATCAGCGCTTTTGTACTCTGTTAGGCCTTGTGCCTACGCTTCCACACTTGCTGTAGTCTTTGCTTGTACTGTGATCTATATACATATATACCTGCATGCTGGCTCTTGCTAGGTAGCTCGACACTGTACTGTCATTGCTGCATATATATCTCTGCATGTGAACTGGCCTTGTGGCCATTTTCTTGTGCTCAGAATGTGTGGTGACGTTGTGATCCACCCTGAGCTTGTTTTGTTTCTCTTGACTGGTCTTGTGACCCATTGCTCTCCCCCACTTTGCCTATGGGGGTGTGTCAAATGATATATATGTGTGATACATATTGGTAGGCTGTAGTGGGGTAGATGTTATAGGGGATAATTCCTTAGGGTTGTGTTACTTGTAAAATTTCTCTCGATAGTCAACTTCACCTTGCCTAGCTATCTCAACATTCAGGATTAACCGTTCAATACTGGAGCATATCAAGGCAGGGCTGCAACACTACCTAGAGCCAATAGTTCACCGATCCATTCTCACCTTGGACACTGCAGTGCTAATCCCAATCAAGTACCTGGCCTCTGGAATCTCGTACGTCGACATATCGTACGTGTTCGGCATCTCCAAGACTCTCTGCCACGAGCTGGTCGACGTTTTTCTCACGCAGTTTCCATCCGTCTTCAAGGCCGCCTGGGTGCGATTCCCCACCCGTGAAGAGCTTCCAGAGATGGCGCGGGAGTTTGCGGCCGTCAAGGGTATACCTGCTGTGGTGGGTGCTGTGGACGGCACTCATATACACATGAAGGGGATGGAGGGGCATAGAACAGAGTACTGGACAAGGAAATCCGCATATGCCGTACAACTCTAGCTCACATGTGACGCACGAGGGAGAATATTGGACTACCTTATCGGGTATCCCGGTAGCGCGCACGACATGCGGGTTTTCAAAGAGTCTGCACTACTTGAGAGGTTACACAACGGGGACATAGCCCCATACCAGATCGTTGGTGACGCGGCCTACCCACTACGGGAGTACTGCCTAACACCCCTGCATGCCCCACGAGGAGAGTACCTCATGGACGACTGGGCTCAAACTTTCAACTACTGTCAAAGCGCCACACGCATGGCCGTGGAGAGATGCATCGGCGCGTTCAAAGGGAGATGGCGCATCTTCGGCCAGCGCAACGACTGCAGGTTGTGACGCATACTCGCCGGTGCTGCGTGTTGTGTCATCCTGCACAACATGTGTGAAGACATGCAGGATGTCAGGCGGCGAAACATGGCATGGGAGAACCTACCCCGCAACCGCGATCCATGGTGGACGCGGGGTGCTATTGCGACACACAAATGGGAACCGTGTGTTCCCCCAACACAACAAGCACTTAGGGAAAGGCGGAAACGACTCGGGGAAGCGCTTTAGTCATCTTACGCTAATCGTCGGCGCCGCGAACCCATATCTCCACATCCTCAGCCGCCGGAGTGACGGTGTTGCCGTCGCCCACGTTCTCACGCGTCCGTCCGGTTTCGGGAGCAGGCGCGGACTCCCCACGTGGCGGCGGTGGAGAGAAATTCTGGGGCGCGCGGTGCACATCCGGGGGAGCCGACTCTGTCATACGCTCACGGGCAAGTCGGAGATCTTGCGCCATCCATTCACGGACGAGGCCTTCGATGCGAGTCATCGCGTCGCCATGGCAGTCCTTGATGGTGGCGGAGACGAGCATCGCCGCTTGCATGGTGGCCGTCTCATGCACCCGGGCACGCCTGGGTGTGGCAGGAGTCGTTGGCGGAGGAGCTGCGACATAGCAAGGACGACTGTAGTAGGTTAGTTTGTGTGGTAAACACGATGTCGATGTTCGTGGCATACATGGTGGTATTTTAAAAAAGTCTTTACAAACAACGCGTACGAGAAAACAAGAACCACCACGCCGAACATAATACCCCAGACTCACCTGTGAAGCAAGGAGTTGACGTGCCTGGCTGGGACGATTGCGGAACCTCCATGCCCGCCGGGACGTTTACGTTATTCGCGCCACCTCCGTCCACGGCATGCGGTGCGGCTGCGGCGGTGTCCTGGTTGTGCAGCTCCAGGTACGGAAACCAAGGTGGTTTCTCCACGGAGCCGTTGCCCGACCCCTCGTCGGCACGCTTGTACTCCTGCCATAGCATCATGAGGTTACGCCACTGTTTCTGGAGCGCGTTGACACCCCGGATCCATCCGGGGTTCGACTCCTTGATGTGTGCGAGCAGCCGGGCCCAGTATTGGGTACCCTGCTTCCCCTTGAGAGGCTCGAGCTCCTCCTTGAGAAACCACTTCGCCGCTGCGAAGATGGTGCTCTCCTTGTCAGACCATAAGCCGCGCTTGACTGGTGCGGCAGCCCGTTTCTTACGCGGCTCTGGGCGTGCTGCAGGTTGGGCCGCCTTGCCTTTGCCCTTATCGGACACAGCCTTGCGTACGGTCTTCCGTTTCGGCGGCGGTGCGACTGGCTGTGCTTCCTCGGTGGCGTCGTCCAGGGCATCCTCGTCGTCGTCATCGTCGTCGTCGCTGGGCGACATTCCAAGGTCCTCAGGTTCATCGTCCTCATCGTCGGAGGCGACGTCGTCGTCGCCTTCGTCGTCGTCTTCATCTGCGACGTCTTCCTCCAAGGCGGGCCGGTGTGTTGCCGCCGTCCTTGTAGGCTGACGGCGCACACGGGACGGTGCAGCCGTGGGCGACGGTGCAGTAGACCCCTGGCCGTCAAGAACGGGTGGCGCGGACAAGCCCCTGGGGTGACGACCGTTGGCGATTTGCTGGTTCATCCAGCGGATGTACGGGATTTCGTTTAAGTCCTTGGGGCAGTCGTTAAGAGCATGCCCCTTACGCTTACGAGCCATGCTTGCGGTGGGATAGCTTCTAGATCTAGATCTAGAGGGAATTGTGGCGGGAGAAGAAGAGAGAGCACAACTTCACACAAGGAGCACAACGTTGACCTTGTAAGGGTTTGGGAGGCGGAGGAGTTGTGATGGAGGTGCACGAGAACGGGGGGAAGGCGCACTGGCGGGGTTGTGCGCGTCCCTGTCAATAATTCTACGTGGTTCGTTTCCTCCAATGAGAACGCTCTGAACGCGTTTGGGGCTAAACTGGGTTTCGCAAAATGTGGTCCAGATACATTATGCATGGGATGACATTTGGTGCCGCGTGCGATTGATGGGGCGTGTTGCAATTAGCTGGCGACTGTTCCGTGAATCACGCCAACCTATGATAAATACAGTCGGCGACAGAGGCGGGCGCCACGACATTCCGACACCTGGCAGCATATGCTGGCCGTACGCGTCCCAATCGATTGAGACACATCGATTGGGACATATTCTACAGCGGAATGTACCCTAACTGACTCCAGACATTTTTGTTGAGTCGTTTTAGTGGCTGCTGGTGCTGCGGAGGTCCATGACAAGTTGATTAAAATATCGAGTGTGAAGTGTTTATTGAGCGCTGCAAGGCCGATGGTGAAACAGCCATGGATGAGAGCCAACATACTGGTCTTCCTGCTCCATTTTGTTTTTTAGTGTATATTGTTGTATTTGGGCCATGTAAATGTACGGTGCCGTAAACAAAGGTGCAACACGGTGTGTTCGAACTCTCCTCGGCCCTTCACAATAACGAAACAGGTTAGGGTTTCAATAGCGCGGTCCCCTTCGCTTCCTCCAAACCCTCCTTGCCCCTCCCCCATCCCCCTTCCCCCTCCAAAACCTCCTTCCACCTCCACTTGCTCCTCCCTTTCGTGCCTCCTTTCCCTGCAAGCACGAACCACTCCTGCTGCAGTGCAGGGTGTGAGAAGGACAGGCAGGCAAATATCATCAAGCTATTCTTCTCCAAAACGCTTCTTCTCAGCGTAGTATTCTTCGCCCTTACGGTGCATTCCATCCATCCGTATCAGTCGTAATTCGATCAACGAAACTCGGTCGATTCCCACTCGTACGCAATGGCGTTAGCTCCGGCGCTCTTAAAGCCCGTGATGGACTTCAGGTTCCTGGACGAGGGTACGGGCGGGGATAAGAAGCGCAAGCGACAAAAAGAGGAGCGCGAGGCGAAAGCCGCCGCCGAAGCCGCGGAGGCGGAAGCCGCCGCCGCGGATCAACCGGGCGACATGGCAATTGACGGCGACGGCGCCGACGGCCAGCCGTCAGCTAAACGGCAAGCCGTTCCCATGGCTGACGACGAGAACCGGCCGTCGTTTGGCCGGCCGTCGTACGACGGCGTAATCGCTGGGAAGGCTTCGGGTCGCAAGTGGAAAACCGTGCGAACGACGAGAGCATCCGCGTTAATAGTCACTGGGCGAAAGGAGGTTTCGTTAGAAGAGAAGCGAAGGCAGCGAGAGCTGAAGAAGGCGTATAGGGAGCGGAAGGAGGAGCTGAAGGAGGAGATTAGGAGCCACAAACAGGAGAAGCGCGCGGCGGCGCAGGAGAAGCAGCGGCGGAAGGAGGAGAATGCGCTTAAGGGCGCGGTGCTGCAAAGGATCACGAACCCGAAAACGATCAAGAAGATGTCGAAAAAGCAACGACAGAGCCTCGTGAAAGTTTGAGGTGAGCCGCGGAGGAGGGAATTCTTTTTTCAGAAATCTCAAAAGTCAGTTATATGGAGGAGAATGCGCTCAAGGGCGCTGTGCTGCAATGAATCACAAACCCGAAGACGATTAAGAAGATGTAGAAGAAGCGACGACAGAGCCTCGTGAAAGTATAAGGTGAGCTTGCGGTGGGTCGAAGAGTTGTGATGGCACGATGCTGCGTGGACGACAGATCCTCGTGAAAGTTTAAGATGAGCTGTGGCTGCGACTTTTGAGCCTTGGCATACCTTAGACCCTCACGAAGGCACGACATGCGCTGAGGGGCGCGGTGCTGCAACGAATCACGAACCCCTGAAACTTATAAGGTGAGACGTGGCGGAGGGGAGTTGAGTGGCGGAGGGGAGTTGAGTGGCGGAGGGGAGTTGAGTGGCGGAGGGGAGTTGAGTGGCGGAGGGGAGTTGAGTGGCGGAGGGGAGTTGAGTGGCGGAGGGGAGTTGAGTGGCGGAGGGGAGTTGAGTGGCTGTGATGGTGCGGAGTCGTGTGAGGTGAGTGTCGTGAAGATGTAAGGCGTGTTGGCTTGTGAGTTCAGCACCTGGGGCGTATAAGGCGTGTTGGCTTGTGAGTTCAACACCTGAGTGTTGGCTACACGAACGTGAGGTCCCAGGTCCCTCATGGGGAAGAGCTGCAAGTAGGAAAGGAATTGTGAGCTCAACATCTGAGTGTTGTCTCAGGTGTTCAAGATGCAAAGACGAAGCCGGGCGAAAGCCGGTACGCCATGCTGGGCGTAGCAGCACGGGTTTAAGGGGTGATCTTTACGCGAAGACAAAAGGCCTCCTGAAAACTTTGGGTAAGTGACGGTTGTTGGCCAGATTTGTCTTTCAAGGTATGTCATGGCTGTAACAGTGCGTCATGGTTGTGAATGGGTGACGCGTGTAAATGCACAGACTGTAAACATATGGACGCCCAAACTTGGCAGGCAAGGATTTTTGTTGCATAGTTTAATATTGAAAGGGGGGAGGGGGACGGGGGTCAAGCACTTGGAGGGAAGTACAGTCATAGACAACAATTTCAGCAGTCAGATTGTTGTGGCGGTTCATGTTACGTTGCAAGTCGTCTTCCTGTATTCCAACATTTCCTTTCATTATCTGTTATGTTCTTCGATAGTTTTGGAAAAGGGTTCTTTCAATTCTCTTTTGTTTGTCGCCACCCTTCTTGACCGCACTTCTTGAATCTTCTGCTTATGCATGACCCTCATTCGACCATCGTCCAACCTGCATTCGATTCTAAGAACTGAACCGAATGCAGCCAGACTCTCATTCTCTCCTCCCTTTCCGCTCCGTTCTCATGCCATTCCGTTGCTGTTTCCACAGGAAGAGGATTGGCACTTGAGGCATTGAACTTTCTGAGACTGAGGAGGGGAGGGAAGGCGAGCAGGGTAATGAAGATGGAGAAGAGTGACAAGAGGCGAGAGGGTGTACAGATGAGGTTTTGTGAGGGGGTATATGTGTGTGCTGCTGGGCTACTGCTGTTTGGTGCTGTTGCGTGGGACAGTAGGGTGATGCCGAAGATGCTGCTGAGGCACAGACATTCGCCTGATGCATTGGTGGTGTTACGCACTCGATCACACGGACTGCATAAGCTTCATGGCTCGGTTCTCTTCAGAGCCTTGACCGATTATAACCGATTATGTAGTAATTAAGTGGCTTTTTATGACGCATTGTACCAGTTGTATCATACTGTGTCTCATGTGCAAAAATTGATTTAAATGCATGCTCTTTATTGCATGCTCTTCATACAGCCCATCGGCGTGAGATGGTAACAATCTATCTTGTAATTATTACAATTACGGTACCATACACCGCACATTGCCACCACTTCCAAACTGTTGCTGCTCCCCACCCCAGGAATGCTAATGAAGCCTCAACCCGTACATCTCCTCAAGCTCCTTCATAATCTCGTCGTCAAGCAGCCTTCTACTACCTTCAACGTGTCAGAATCCCAGCCACTAACCACTGGGATAAAATGGCTTGTTTGTGTAGCGGGTGAGTGCGCCCATAACCCCCCAGGCCGACGCGCGTGTAACCCTTCCCTAGGATCAATCGGGGATCTCCAGTGGACCTCTGACACCCCCCCGCACTGGGATGCCCGAGGTGCACACACCAGGATTCGAACCCGAGACCTTCGTGTTAGAATCTGGCAGCAGGAATGGTAAACTAACAGCATGCAGGAGTACAAGTAGGAAACCCTAATTTGGTTGTACCCCATATGGGCTACCCCACTACAGCCTAGACAATATGCAGCATACATGTTTGACACACCCCCATAGGCAAAGTGGGGGAGAACAAGGGGTCACACGACCAGTCAAGAGACGCAAAGCAAGCTCAGGGTGGATCTCAACGTCACCACACATTCTGAGCGCAAGCAAAGGGCCGCAAGGCCAGTCCACATGCAGAGATATATATAAGCAACAAGAGCAGTACAGTGATCAATACCTAGCAAGAGCAAGCATGCAGGTATAAATATAGAACACAGTACACACAAAAGACTACAGCAAGTGTGGAAACGTAGGCACAAGGCCTAACAAAGTACAAAAGCGCTGATGATCACCAGACGGAAGTGCCTTGGTGAATATATCAGCAGTGTTGGCCCTAGTGGCCACGTGTGCAAGACGAAGCTGACCACGCTGCTGCAGCTCTCGAGCCAGAAAGTACCGCAGAGCGATGTGCTTCGTTCTGTGCTCCAGTCTGTGCTCCTCACACAAGGCAATAGCAGCCTTGTTGTCGACGTACAGCACTGGAGGAGAACGAGGCCGCTCTCCTAGGTCGGTCAGCAGGTAGGTGAGCCAGCGTAACTCCTGAGCAGCCATGGCGGTGGCGTAGATCTCAGCCTCACAACTGGAGCTGAGAACAGAAGACGAGCGAGTAGAACGCCAAGAAACAGAACCAGAGCCAAGGCTGAAAGTGTAACCCTGTGACGACCGCTGCGTAGCCTGGTCGTCAACCCAAGAAGCGTCTGAGTGCCCAGTGAGGACCACCTCTCGCCGTCCTCCAAGCACGAGCCCCATGCCCGATGTACTGCACAAGTAGCGCAGTACCCTCTTCGCAGCATCCCAGTGCACCTTTCGGTGCCGACCAGGAGCCACGTAGCGAGCCAGAAGGCCAAGAGGGTACGCAAGGTCAGGACGAGTGCAAGTCATCAGGTACATGAGGCAGCCCACTAGCTCTGGGTAAGGACCACTCGGCTCTACGGACTCATCCGAAGGCAGAGCTGAGAGCGAGTGACCTATAGCCAGAGGAGTGGCCTGTGCTGAGGACCAGGTGAAGCCGAAGCGCTGAAGGACCTGCTGCACCATGTGTGACTGAGTCAGTGTGATGGTGCGGCGTGCTCTATCCCGGGTGATCTGCAAGCCAAGGTAGCTGCGCAGCTCACCCAGGTTTGTGCACGTGTGTCTCTTCTGCAGCTCGGACTTCACCAGGGCGAGGGCCTCAGTGTCAGCAGTAGCAAAGACCAAGTCGTCGACGTACACGAGGATATAGAACGGCGGCAACGAAGTGTCGGTGCGTAGAAACAGTGAAGGGTCAGCAGTCGAAGGCGCAAACCCAAGAGCCGCAAGTGTGGTCCTCAGTGTGTCGTGCCACTCACGGGGTGCCTGGCGGAGACCGTAGACTGGCCGGCGGAGGCTCCACTGGGTACCAGGAGGGAACGTCCCAGTGAAGCCAGGTGGGCGGCGCAGCCAGATCTCCTCGTGCAGGCTGCCCTGTAGGAAAGTGTTAAATGTTGGTAGGCTGTAGTGGGGTAGCCAATATGGGGTACAACCCCAACTAGGGTTTGCTACTTGTACCCAACTGTTTCATTCAATGCATTCATTCTTGTCTCTAGATTCTAACATGGTTTCAGAGCAGTAGGTCCGTAGGACCGTTTTTTTTTCGGGCCCACCTACCGCTACCCCACGCCTGTGCCTGTGACGTGCTGCGCTGCGCGCGCCGTCTGCCTGTAGCCTACTGCCTGCTGCCTACTGTGTTGTCTGCTGCTGCTACCGCGCAGACCTAAGTCACGCACGCTGCCCGCTGCTGCCTCAAGCGTCGCCCTCGCTGCTCGCGCCGCTCTGCTGCCCCTCACACGCCGTCAGCGCGACGCACAGCCCCCAGCGAGCCTCGTCTGCGCAGCCCCGTCGAGCCGCGCGCAGCCCCGTCGAGCCGCGCGCAGCCCCGTCGAGCCGCGCGCAGCCCCGTCGAGCCGCGCGCAGCCCCGTCGAGCCGCGCGCAGCCCCGCCGAGCCGCGCGCAGCCCGTTTTCTGCTGCGCGCGGCCCCGCCGAGCCGCGCGCAGCCCGTTTTCTGCTGCGCGCGGCCCCGCCGAGCCGCGCGCAGCCCGCTGCTGCCGCGCGCGACCCCCCCCCCGAGCCGCGCGCAGCCCCTGCCGAGCCGCGCGCGGCCTCCTGCTGCTGCGCGCAGTCCCTGCCGAGCCGCGCGCGGCCAGCTGCTGCTGCGCGCGGCCTGTTTCTGCCTCCCGCAGCCCGCGCTCGGCCCACAGCAGCCCCGCGCGCTGCCCTGCATAGCCTGCAGCTGCATCGGCCCCGACCTTCCGCTGCTGCGGCCCCTCGCTGCTGCTGCCGAGGCCCCGACCTGCCGCTGATGCGGCCCCCACTCTGCGACTGCCGCTGAAGCGGCCCCGCCCTGCAGCTGCTTCGGCCCTACTCTGCAGCCGGTGTTGCGGCCCCGACGTCGCCGCTGTCGAGCGCCGGCCCTGCTCGCCTGGTGAGCGCCTGCCTGCCTGCCTGACGGCCTGCCTGCCTGCCTGCCTGCCTGCCTGGCTGCCTGCCTGCCTGCCGGCCTGCCTGCCTGCCTGCGCGCCTGCCTGCCTGCCTGCCGGCCTGCCTGCCTGCCTGCCTGTCTGCCTGCCTGCCTACCGCCCTGGCTACCTGCCTGCCTGCCGGCCTGCCTGCCTGCCTGCCTGCGTGTCTACTTGCCTGCCTGCCTGCCTGCCTACCTGCCTGCCTGTCTGCCTGCCTGCCTGCCTGCCTGGCTGCCTGCCTGCCTGCCGGCCTGCCTGCCTGCCTGCCTGCCTGCTTGCCTGCCTGCCTGCCGCGCCTGCCTTGCCTGCGCTACTGCTACTGGCAGGTGGCCAGATGCAGCTCCAGCGACATTCACGCGAGCCTCTGACGCCCCAGCAGCTTAGTGAGTGGTATACTAGCTGGGGTTGTCGCGGTAGCCGTCGTAGCTGTCGCCCTGGAGCTGGTCAGTTGGGAGCGTCTGGCAGTGGCCAGTTGTAGCTGCAGGGACGTCCACGTGAGACACTTACGCCCCGGCAGCTCCAGGAGTGGTACGCTCAGTGTAGCAGGTCTACGCGTACAGTTCGCTGCCCGTACGTCATTCGCACAGGTGCTAGGACTGGTCAGCCTTGTGGGACGCTTGGTCACACACAGTCCCGCTGCTTCGCCCGTCTGAGCGACGACTGGCGCACAGTGTTTGGCGACGAGGCTGAGCTCCCCACCTGGCTGGAGCTGCATAGACAGAGGGTAGATATCTTTGCGCTTGACTATGATGCTATTCTCACTGCCATGTATGCATTGTCTACTAGTGCTGACCGTGCCTGTTGCCTGTGCGTACCGCCTGACCCTGGTGAGGCTGCTGCCCTAGGTGCTAGTGCGTCTCCTGCTCTAGGTGCTGGTGAGGCTGCTGCTCTCGGTGCTAGTACGTCTACTGCTCTAGGTACTGGTGAGGCCGTGGCTTCAGGTGCTGGTGAGTCTGCTCTCTCTGGTACTGCGCCCACTGCGGTCTCGCACACCTTCACCCTTGACTCAGGAGCTTCCCGCTCCTTCTTTCGCGACTGCACCACACTCACGCCGCTCAGTCGGCCAGTTCCAGTCTCCCTGGCGGACCCCTCCGGGGGCCCAGTCCTTGCCCACTACTCCACGGTTCTGCCGTGTCCGGCCGTCCCGTCTGGCTTCCTGTCAGGTCTTTACCTCCCCTCGTTCTCTACGAACTTGGTGGCGGGAGCTGACCTCCAGGATGGGGGGGTTCACCAGTTCACTCCTGCGGGTCAGCGAGTGACCCGCTGTACGTGTGCTCGGACGGGCCAACACCTGGCCACGTTTACCCGTGCGCCTGGCTCGAGTCTGTACACACTCACCACTGAGTCCCCTCAGGTAGCTGCGTCTGCGTCTGCGTCTGCGTCTGGTCAGCTGGCGGCCCCCTGCGAGTGTCGCGCTTTGTCGCACGACACTCTCCTGTGGCACCACCGCCTTGGTCACCCCTCCCTGCCTCGCCTGCGTACCATGCACTCTCGCTCCCTGGTCTCTGGTCTTCCCAGGTCTCTGCCTGCCCTACCTCCCTCGCCTGCGCCGCCCTGCATTCCTTGCGTCGAGGGGCGGCAGCGTGCCGCTCCTCACTCCTCCTC